TCGGGTTGGAAAATCTCTCGACTTTCCTGGGCATATATGGTACTTGCCCAAAGGCGAAGCCAGGATTATAGCTAGGGAGGGGCAAAAAAAATCTATGGAAAATTTCGCCGAATACCATTTCACCGAACGCCATTTCACCGAACGCCATTTCACCGAACGCCATTTCACCGTACGCCATTTCACCGAACGCCATTTCCCCGAACGTCATTTCCCCGAACGCCATTTCACCGAAAGCCTTTGTGTTGCTGGGTTTAAGGGGGCAGTTGACCCCACCCTGCCCCATCTGGCTATACCTATGTAATTACCACACAATTATGCTCAGGCAAAATGGCAATTAATAACTGTGGAAATGCATCTAGAACACTAAGTTGAGAGCTTGAAATGTAAAGAAGAAGAATACAATTTCCTGAATTTTTATACAATAATTTTCGGAACTTGTTGGACGTTTCCGATATTCTCCTTAAATTAACTAAACTGCCCTTAAGTTCTATAAATCTACTTATCGATCTTATCTGAATATCTTGAAGGTTCTTGCAATACAGGGCTGTTCCATCAACAAAAACGAGATGCTCTATAAATGATCTGTATGGAGTATTTATGCTAGGATTTTCAAGCTCTACCGGACAATCTCCGTCTTTTTAATCGAACAGGCTTGCATTTGTCAGGTGGCGCCTCTCTTGCGTACTCATCAACGAGTCCGAGTGATTTGCCAACCGGTCCAAAACACTCTCTCTTAAGTTACTAACAAGTCCTCACTCTCAAATCGATCACTAACAATCCTACGCGAAGTTCAGATGTCTTCCAACGAAAAGTTCACAGAACTTCCATGAAGTTCAAACGATATGTTCACAGAACTTCCAACAAGAGGTTCAAAGAACTTCCGAAGGAGAAGTTCAGAACTCTTTCAACGACAAGATCAGGAAATTTTCGACTGAAAACTCAGTCAGAAGTTCACAGAACTTTTGAAGGAATTTTTTCTCAGAAATTCCCTGAAGTTTAACTGAATTTCTCTTAAGTCCACAGAACTTAGTTAATGTTCCCTGAAGTTTCAAAAATTCACAGAACTTCATTGAATTTCCCTTAAATTCATAGAACATCATTAAAGTTCTCTGAAGTTCGAAAGTATAGTGTACAGTACAGTTCACAGAACTTCTTGGAAGTTCCATCGAAAAGTTTAGAGAACTTTCTACGAGAGATTCAGAGTACTTTCGACTACAAGTTCAGAGATCTAAAGAGAAGCTCCAGGAAGTTAACAGAACCTCATTTATATTCCTTGAAGTAAGCAGAACTTTTGATGAAAATTTCACACAACTTCCTTGAAGTTTGCAGAACTTCATTATATTTCTCTGACGAAAAGTTCAGAGTACTGCCGTTGAGAAATTCAAAGAACTGCTGAAAACAGTTTATTAAACATAAATTTACCTTTAATTAGTTTGATGTCGGCAAAGTGCATTTGGTAGCACTAGAAGTCGACACTCATGAAATAGCAAAATGGCAGATACACGCAAGAGTGATCGAACCGAGGGGGACGACTCTATCTACGATGCAGAAAAGATTGTGTATTGCTGTGGCTAGCTGCGCGCACGCTGAGTAGATAGAAAGAAGATTGATGACGATTCTGAAGATTTCCTGCAAAAAGATGATACGCGATGCAAGTAGATGCGAGAAATGAAAGAAGAGTTTTCGAAGATTGATTCGCTAGTGTGAGATTTGTTGAGCATCTAGACTTGAGATTTAGATGTGTCGCCCCCCTCGGATCGAACATGATTTCGGAAAGCTCTGAATACACACGGCAAATGAGAACGACCCAAATTTGAGTTTAGTTCACTCATAATCACCAAAAGTGCAGGAACTCAGCGATGAATAAAATTTGTCTCATGTTTTCCCAGGTTTTTTCCAGGATTTTCCAGGGAAAAATTCCCGAATTTGAGAAAAGTAAAGATTGGATTCACTCAGTCTATTGGTACTACTCCGAGACTGAATAATATTTTCGTTAATTTCCTCATTTTCCGGCAGATTTTTTAGGTTTTCCACAGGAAACCATGAGACAAATTTTACTCATCGCTGAGTTCCTGTACTTTTGGCGATTATGAGTGAACAAAACTCAAATCTGGGTCGTTCTCATTCGCCGTGCACGAATGTGGTTCGTGTTATGAAAATCGAAGTACTGCTACAAAACGACCAAAGCACAAGACGCAAAGTGAGGGAGATAGAACGTATGATTATAATGACGCTATGGGATGGAAGAGCGGGGAATGATATGTATATGTATTCGTGATTCTGTTGACTACTTTTAGAGTGGATGGACGTCAACCAGGTTACAACCGGGACGAAACCAGGTCACGACAAAGAGGTTCCGAGAAATTCAGATACTAAGTTCAAAGATCTTTTGACGAGAAGTTCAGAGAAATTCCGATGAGAAATTTCAATATTTTCTAAAGACAAATGCCTATAAATTTTGACAAGGATTTCAGAGAATTTCCGACCAGAAGCTCTTAGTACTTCTGACAAGATGTTCATAGTTCGTTCAGAGAACTTCCCAGGAGAAGTTCACAAAACTTCAAATGAGAAATTCACAGAACTTCCGACAAGAAGATCAGAAAACTTCCAGTGAGAAGTGAAAAGATCTTCTGAGGATAATTTCTTCTCCATTTCGAGGAGAATTTCAGAGAATTTCTGAGAACGTCCGACGAATAATTCAGAGAACTTCTGAGGAGACATTCTGAGAACTACTGACGATTAATTTTGAGATCTTCCCATTAGAAATTCACAGTACTTTCGACTAGAAGTTCATCCAGAAAAGCAGCATAATTAAAGTAATGCTATCGACTGGTGGACTATTTGGAGAAAAAGTTAATCGGATTTCAGTATTTTAGTCTAGAAAGATGATGATGATGATGATGAAAAAATGCAACCCGCGCAAGAACGTCACGATTGGGACCAAGCCGTAACCAACTTTCTTGTAACTGCGATCGAAACAGCTGCAGCGATCAACGAATCCAAATTTGATGCTCGTGCATATGTGTGCACATGGGGCCTCCCTTAGCTCAGTCGGTAAAGGTGCAGCTACAAAGCAAGACCATGCTGGAGGTGGCTGGGTTCGATTCCCGGTCTGGTCTAGGAATTTTTCGGGTTGGAAAATGTCTCGACTTCCCTGGGCATAGAAGTATGATTGGACTTGCCACACAATTATACCAATGCAAAAATGGTACAGGCATCGAAAGCTCTCAATTAATAACTGTGGAAGTGCATCTTAGAACACTAAGTTGAGAGCACGCAATAAGCTAATATGCGATATGCAATAAGCTTGAAATTCGAAGAAGAAGAAGAAGAAAAATAAGAAGAAGAAGAAGAAGAATAAGAAACATATGTGTGTGTGAGAGCGGTGGGAGGTTTTGTTTTTGGCTGAATTCGATTAAAATTATCAGATTCTCTAATATGCCAAACTCGGCGTAATTAATTTATATCTATATTAAAATAAAGGACAATAAGGCCTTAGGAGGATAAGGGTAATGGTGCTTAGCAAAATCGAGTATAATTCGAGATTGGCGTATTATCCTCGATTGAGCCTACCGCCATTAGAATCAAAATAAAAGCCAAATAGACCATACATATAACTAACTGTCAAGTCAAGTCTAGAGCAACATGTGAAAAGGACCAATGGTCCAAATGTAAACAATGGCTTCAAACGTCGATTTCTCGTGCATTTAGACTCATTCAGGCAAACCAACAGCAGCATCTGGTAGAGAAGTTTGCTCTTTCAAATGGTTTAGTTAGTCTGTGTGAACGTGTTGTGATTCATTTCTTATAAAGTTTAATAGTATTTCTAAAATATACCGAATAATTTTAAATCTTATAAAATTTTGTTGAAAGTATCTTTCCTTTCGATTAATATTCATTTTTGGAATCAACATCACTGTTACTGTTACCCAATGAGTGGAAATTATATGAGGAAAATGGACTAGTTTGTTTTAACAGAAGGTTAATCACTTTGACTTTCAGAACCTACCGGGAAAGCACCCTCTTTTGAACAGCAATAACATACGGTGACACTCTCTACATGAAACTAACGTATAGCTTTTTTTTATTTTTTCCGAAGTTCTCAATTGGCGTAGCTGATGGGAGTGCCTAAGATGCCTGGCCCCCCCTTTGATTTTTTTCGGGGGTCAAATTATCGACAATACAGCTTATTATAAAACTTCAAAACACTTTGCGGGCCAACGCAATTTTCCTGCCCTGTCCTGAAGTTCACAGTTCTTTGCTGAAGCTACTTGACCTTTTCGAAAGATCTTTAAATTTACCTAGAGTTTTCTGGAGTTTCTTGACGTTCTTGTTAAGTTCCTAAATTTTTATTTTAGTCAATGAAACTGGCGAGAAATTCTCTGATCTTCATCTAAGTTCACGAAATTTTCCTGAAATTCAAGGAACTGCCCTGAAGTTCTTGAATCTTGTATTAAAAGATCTTTGAACTTCCCCAAAGTTCAGAACTTTCCCGGAACTCTCACAACTTCACTAATGTTCTTAAAACTTCTTGGAATATTTTAGAACCTTGAATCATCCCTGAATTTTTAGAAAAAAAAATCGAAATTGCTCTAAAGAGCTCTTAACTTTCCTGGTGTTTTCTGGACTTGGAGAATTGTTCAGAATCTGCTTTGAATAAAATACGTCATGCACAATATAAAATCAAATTATTTACCATTTTTCGGTTCCTAGTTGTCATCCTTCAGAAATTGTCTGGCCTACTTCTATTTATCAACGAGAATTGAAGCTTTTTTGTCGGAATTCAGGATTTATTTTTCAACAAGCAACTCTGAATAGCATATCACACTAATGACCTGTAATAAAACTATCACCCTATCACTGGTATTTAGTTCAAAAGTAGTATCTCTTTCTCCACATTATTTGAATTATTACACATAGCTTGTTCCTTTGCATTCACAGGAGTACATTCCCCTTCTATAATTTTCACGTTTTAATAATGCTATCGTCTCTCCCAACAGATGTACGAGTTTCGAGGGTCCTCCTTCCAGGTGCAGCAGCTCCATGGTGGTGTCGGTGGTGCCGCCATGGATCAACCGGACTACGTGACGGAGTTGATTTAAGAGTGATGAATTGATTATTCCAATTTTTACTGAACAAGACTACACACAACATTTTTACTTTTACTGTTATTCGACGCAGCTCCTCCCGTTGCAGTAGGATATCATTAGCGGGTTAAGTGACGAGAAAGATTCGTCTCCAGAAAACAATATCTTTTTTTTTTAGTAGGTTAATGTGAAATCAAAACGTAAAATTGCCAAGTTGAAGAAACGAAGAAGACCCCCCTTTGAAAAGGAATGCTCAATGTGTTGTGTTTGACACCCGATTGTAAAATACTCAAAGCAGAAGAAACGAATTTGAACAACCATACTGAGGGAAAGAGCATTGATTTGAGATTTTTGCCCGACAAAGGCAGCAGAATACAAACTCTTTGATAGACAATAAATAGGAGATATCTTAAAGGATAGTATTTATGAGAGAGATAATGTTGATGAATACGAATATTCTCAGATGCAACAGTTTTACTCGAACCATTCCGCCACACGTCGTACTCAACATTTCGTTTTAAGTTTTTATCAATTTGCGTTTAAATTTAACGAACCGCCACAAAAATCCCCCTCGATTGCTCACGCTCTGCTCGGACCATTTACTTTTTCGGAAAATACCTCCGGTGATTTCTGGCTCATTATGATTTTTCCAGCCCTGCAAAATAATGCAATCCCATACATCTACCCGTTCCGTTCCATTCCCCCAGTCAGTCTTCCGCCACATTCAACCAGAACCGCAGCCTCACACGTGGCATGGCACGCGCGTGAGTTAAACAAATGAATTCAATTAAAAATTATGAAAATTGAAATCGAAAAAATAAACCAAACTGTTCCGCAGTTCAGAAACAGGCCCTTCTCTCTCAAGTAGTCCTACCATGTGGAAAATGGTGACGAGGTGAAGTGAAAATGAGAGCGCGTGAATGAGTAAGAGCGAGCGAGCGAATAAAAAGTTCACAAAAATCCAACCGCCAAACCGAGGTATCGAAAGTTGAAAAATTGTAAATAATTAAATCTAGCAAATGGATGAAATATTTAAATTATTAAAAATCAATTATGTTAACGAGTTTATGGGGCTATGTATCGGAAACGAGTGCCGGCGGTTGCCACGCGGCCGCCTGTCGCCCTTTTCGCTTTTTTTAATTTTGTTCTGTTTGTTTGGTTTTTGATTTCGAACAATCGGAATACAAAATCGAAAAACCTGGGCTGGGTGGTTAGGAGAGTAATTAACTTTTTTGTAAGAGAAAAGACAGCTAAACAATGATACGGATGACTTGTTATGTTTTACGTCTCTATTTTTAAGTATAAGAAATAATAGCACAACATCGATGGGGAAGAGCCACTGTCCACGTACCCCGCCCCGCCCTTCCTCCACTACCATGTGGAACGAGGACGGGGTTCCATTTTAGATTTAGGAAAACTGAGAGAAGCAGGAAGTCAAAGTGGAATTCTTTTGAACAAAATATGGTTTCTGTGAAGAGTAATCGTTTTAACAAAACAAAAGCAGATTAGAAGGTGTAGCAATAAAATGCAGTTTTTCTAGTAAAATTGTAACAGTCCGGGTGGTTTAATCTTTTACTGAACCGTGATAAATCACAGCACTGAGCGCGGTTGCAACAGTACAGCAACTTTATTGGGATTAAATTGTCTGCTGATGGAATAAATAGGTGGTCCCTGGGAGGTATCGCTTTTGGCTTCGAATGGGCGTAATTAAATTGACCAATTGTTAATGATTTTATTATCGTTTAAAATGAGCCTTTGTATGCCGAGCAAATAAAATGGGAATCGATTCTGCACCCCGACAGTGTAAACACAATTAATTGTTATCGCGATCCACGTTGAACTGGAAAATATTATGGCGAAACAAGGCTTGAATGAACATTTACTCAATTTGATCAACCAGATTTACAGTTTAATGTCAGTATTTTTGGAAGGGTCAAATAGGACCGAAATCAGTTCCATTATCCCACATGTTGTTGCTTGTAGCAAGTGACAAAGCTTATGAGCTTTGTGTGGGCATTGCATGTTTGCTGAAAGTTGAGCAATTTATGTCAATTTACCGTTGTAAACCGTCCATTACTGATTGACATTTTCATTAGTTTTGTAAAGCAAACTTTAATCATATTTGAAATCAGACTATCGAAGTTTGTGGTCGCCATCAAATTTCAAAGACTAGAATGGGTTTATTTGTTGGGCCAAATTAATATACTCGACGAACAGTTGGGTATCCGTTCAATTAAAAGTCCCTTTGAGCCCGGTTGCGGTCAATTATTGTGTCTAAGTCCCTGTTAACGACACATGCGGTATTTATTCATTGCTTATAAGTCAACAGGTAAAATGTTTACGCATTGACGCTTGTTTAATAACTTAATACAAATAACATAAATTAACGTAACACTCGTTTAAAACTACGCTTATTTGTTTCTCGAGACACGTTGATATCATACTCATAGTAACAACGGTTGAATACACGGGATATGCTTCGGAAAGGTTCGTGAAAGCCATAATTATGATGATGAAAAACTTATGCGACCGAAGAATAAAGGGCGAACACGAAATTATTGCGACACCGAAAATGTCATGCCAATTTTCTTATAATGTTTAGAATCAAACCAAAATTTTAGGGTAGTTTTATACATATATTTACTTCAAAAATCAAAAGAAAAGTTAATCGATGGAGCCTTGAGTGTAAAATTGAACGCATTTTCGCTTGATGCCCTCCATCAAAGTCTTTACAGTGTCATCCGGTACCAGTTTCTCAGTTTTTTTTTCCATTTTCTTAACATGTCCTTCTCGTCTTTGACTGTCTTCTTGCTCTTCCGAAGTTCCCGCTTCATTATTGCCCAGTACTGCTCCACCGGGCGCAGCTCCGGACAGTTTGGCGGATTCATGTCCTTTGGAACAAAATGGACAGAATTGGCCTCATACCACTCCAGGACACTTTTAGAATAGTGGCATGATGCCAAATCTGGCCAAAATAGCGGAGCTTTGTCGTGCTGCTGCAAGAACGGCAAAAGGCGCTTCTCGAGGCACTCAGATTTGTAGATCTCGCCATTTACTGTGCCCTTTGTCACGAAAGGCTCACTCCTCAGTCCGCAAGAGCAGATGGCCTGCCAAATGAGATATTTGGAGGCGAACTTCGACATTTTCTTCTTCTTAAATTTGTCGTCCACATCGAACTTGCTCTTGCCGGTGAAAAATTCCAACCCCGGAATTTGCTTAAAATCGGCTTTTAAATACGCTTCGTTGTCCATCACACAGCAGCCATATTTTGTCAGCATCTTCTCGTAGAGCTTCCGTGCCCGAGTTTTAGCCGTCGATTGTTGCCGCTCATCGCGGTTTGGGAAGTTCTGTACCTTGTATGTATGTAGTTCAGCTCTCTTCTTTGCATTCTGGACGTAGCTCTGCGACATGCCTATCTTTTTAGCCAAATCAAGGCTTGAGACGTTGGGATTTGCTTTAATCATCCGCTTCACCTTTCCCTCCGTCTTTTTGTTCTCCGGTCCCGGTTTTCTTCCAGCTCCTTTGCCGTGGTCCAACGTCAACCGCTCCTGGAACCGCTTCAACACTCTGGAGACGGTTGAATGGTGAATGTTCAACATTTTTCCCAACTGGCGGTGCGACAGGTCAGGAAATTCCAGGTGTTTGGAAAGAATTTGTTCTCTCAACTCGCGTTGGTTCACCTCCATTTTCGTTGAATCGAAAAACACGACTTCGAGTTTGACAGCATGTACACAATACACATCAATGAGAAAGTGTGCAAAATTTGGTTGATTTTTACCCAATGGTAAAAAAGTTATGCCCTGTTGAATGTGTCGCAATAATTTCGTGTTCGCCCTTTATCTCGCTGAGGAAACTCTCCTGTCTACGTCAAAATTTTCCAAACACCATCATTTTTGTTTTCATAAATATCTAATATCATACTTGACTTTCTCCAAATTGCAGGAAACACCTAGAACTATTTCTAGAAATTTTGCTAAACATTCGTGGGCAAAACCTCGGGCAAAATAAAGATGATGAAGGTATTCTGATGTATCTAGGTATTTTAAAGATAATTAGATAATTCCATGAACTTCGGCAGAACTTCCCTGAACTTTGGCAGAACTTCTCTGAACTTCGGCTGGACTTCGCTGAACTTCAGCAGAAGTTCCCTGAACTTTGACAGGCCTTCCCTGAAGTACGGCAGGACTTCCCTGAGGTTCGGCAGGCCTTCCCTGAAATTCATCAGGACCTCCCTGATTTCCAAGAATTGAAATGAAAGGACTTCCCTGAAGTTCAGCAGCCCTTCCATAAACTTCGGCAGAACTTCCCTGAACTTTGGCAGAACTTCTCTGAATTTCGGCAGGACTTCCCTGAACTTCGACAGAACTTCTCTGAATTTCCGTAGAACTTCCCTGAACTTCAGCAGGACTTCCCTGAACTTTGGCTGAACGCCTCTAAATTTCCGCAGAACTTCAGCAGGACTTCCCTGAACTTCGGCAAGACTTCCCTGAACTTCGGAAGGACTTTCCTGAACTTTGGCAGGACTTTCGGCCAATTTAAAATTCATCAAGGTGTCATGTTTCGTATTCAAGTCAGTCAGCTGGCACTGAAAACTCCAACAGTAGGCGGGACAACAGCTCACTTTAATGGCTCAGATGACGTAGCGGTTTGTGCTGGGGCTCTCACGCACTGGGTTTGATTCTTCAAACAGCTCCAATTCTACTACTAATGCAGATAAATGAAAACACAATTAATACCTGCCTTAAGAAATAACTTTCATAAAAGTGCGAACAAAATATATAATTGGTGAAGAAGACAAAAACCTTTTTTTTAATTTATTTTCTAAAAGTTCCGTTCAAGTTCGAAATGTAACTATGTAGAAGACGCGTCTGGATTTTCCGATCACCGCTTGCTGCTGATAACTTCAAGACATAATCGATCCACGAACCAAACGACTGGGAATCAACAAAGCCATGAGCACGAATATAGGAAAAAAAAAGAGCCAGGACAAACAATGACCAACCCCAATACCAAGTCTCATTGTTGACGATTGACCCCAAAGCCAAGGAAAAATACTCCAGAATGCTTAGCAACAAGCTATCGATTTCAGATCATGCATCAACAGTTGATTCAGAAAAACTGCTTAACTCCATTGTCACTTCGGTTCTAGACACGGCTGCTATCACACTTAAAAGATCCCGCTCTCCTCCTACACCGAAACGTGTTAAGGCTGGCCGGATCTTTGAAGGAGTACAGCGAGAGCTGCTTGCAGACAGGCGTAATGCTTCGTTAAAACAAAAATACCGGGAGGCCAGGAAAGCAAAAAGTAGAGCGTACGAGGAGAACCAGGAGGAGAAGATTCACGACTTCTTCCAAAATTTGGAAAACTATCCAGTCCTAGACAGAGTCCGCCTAACATTTCGTTATCTCAAACATTATCGCCGCAGAACAACTCAGGGAACGTCAACGTTCATCCCAATTAGAGCCTGGGAAGAGAAACTACAATCAGGTAGTGGAGCTGCTGATATAGCACTACTCCCAGAAGATGTAGAACCGCCCATGGGATCAGGACCAACGCTCGCGGATATAGAGCGCATAAGCCTTACCTTGCGCAATGGAACCGCTGCTGGAACCGATGGCGTACGCCCAGAACTAATACGATATGGACCAGAATGTTTGCATAACAGGATACATCAACTTCTTCAACAGATATTGCTAGATAACAATATTCCCGCGCGGCTGGTAGAAACTCTGCAAGTACCAATTCCGAAGAACGCTAGACCCAAAGGAGTAGACGAATACAATGTAGAGAACTACCAGTTTGCGTACCACTATAATCGCAGTGCGGAGGACCAAGTATATATAGTCAGACAACTACTAGACGAACGATGGCGTAAGGGACGCACCACCTATGTAGTATCACTAGACCTAAAGCAAGCGTTTGATACTATAAACCTGGGTGTGGTCCCAGAGACACTAGAGAGGCTGGGGGTCCCGGTGTACTTGATCAATAGAATCATATCGGCCTGCCTCACGGAGCGCACATCCTTGCAATGGTTCGGGCAGAGGACGGACAAACACAACAAAGTGCGAGGAATAAAACTTTTTGCTCGACCAAGCACTACGTTGACTACAAGCCCAGATGCCGGAACTGTTTCTTGGACAAGATGGTCGGATAAAACTCCCATGTATTCGTGTATACGCTGACGACATTTTATTGATTTTGACGGACCCGTCCCAAATCTCAAGAATACTATCGTTCATAGGGCCATGTTTACAAGAATACGGACTGAAACTGAATGTCAATAAGACGGAAGTACTAATCCGGGATCCTTCCCTGAGTGAAAGTGAAAACCACGAGACCCCAAGATTGGTCCGATTTAGTGAATTTGAACTGAGCGTAGTTACAAAACTGGAATACTTGGGAGCCTACATAACAAGTTCGCTAAGCCGACGAGAGACGGTGTCAGACCGCTGCCAAAAGGCATTAAGGGCATATCACGCCATAGTTCCGTTCATTAGAATCTTCCAACTACGGTGGGAAACATCAATGAGAATATATCATACATGTA